TTATTTATTTGTCAGAGAGAGAGAGGGAGAGAGAGCGAGCACAGGCAGACAGAATGGCAGGCAGAGGCAGAGGGAGAAGCAGGCTCCCTGACGAGCAAGGAGCCCGATGTGGGACTCGATCCCAGGACACCGGGATCATGACCTGAGCCGAAGGCAGTTGCTCAACCAACTGAGCCACCCAGGCGTCCCAGCTCTTTCTACTCTTAAACAACATTGGTGTTGTGAAAATTTCTGCTTCTTTTAAAAAGGGTTGTGGAATTCTCGTGTGCCCATGTACCATATGAAAAGACTGATAGAGGGACGCCTGGGTGGCTCAGTGGGTTAAGCCTCTGCCTTAGGCTCAGGTCATGATCCCAGGGTCCTGGGATCGAGCCCCACATCGGGCTCTCTGCTCAGTGGGGAGCCTGCTTCCTCCTCTCTCTGCCTGCTTCTCTGCCTACTTACGATCTCTGTCTGTCAAAAAAATAAATAAAATCTTAAAAAAAAAAAAGACTGATAGAAAAGTAATATTGCTATATTTGCAGATGCTTGGAAAGATTTGAGTTTATTTACCACTCCAGAACTTCCTTCCACCTTTGTCAAACATACCAGCAATGTGAATGATTTCTCCCTGCAGCTTTGTAAAGGGAGGCCCTGAGAGAGGTCAGGCTCTTTTGAGAAGATTGAATGCAGGGGGAAAGTAGCTCCTGATTCTTTTTTTTTTTTTTTTAACTATTTATTTATTTATTTGAGAGAGAGTGAGTGAGCCCAGAGGGCGAATGAGAGGGAGAAGGAGACTCCCTGCTGAGCAGGGAGCCCAACATAGGGCTGGATCCCAGGATCCTAAGATCATGACCTGAGCCAAAGGCAGATGCTTAATTGACTGAGCCCCGGTAGCTCTGGATTTTTCTAAATGCCTGCAAGTTAGGACGGTTTTACTTCTTTTGCTTCTCTTTTTTTTTTTTTTTTTTTTAAGATTTTATTTATTTATTTGAGAGAGAGAGAGATGAGAGGGGAGAAGGTCCAAGGGAGAAGTAGACTCCCCGCAGAGCTAGGAGCCCGATGCGGGACTCAATCCTGGGACTCCAGGATCATGACCTGAGCCGAAGGCAGTGGCCTAACCAACTGAGCCACCCAGGTGCCCCTTGCTTATTTCTCTTTTACTTTTAATTGCATTGATATGTGGAAAATAGGTATGATCAAAAGAAAACCATTTCTTACATTTAATTTCCATTGTTCTTGTGTCTGTAAACTATTAATTTATGTTTATAGTTATATACTGCTTTATAATTGCTTTATTTGTTTAATATATAACAGACAATTTACATACATTTTCACAGTTGGATAGTATTCCATCAGTAATCCCATATATCTGTGCACTTAAAACTTCCTTTTTTTTTTTGAGAACTGATATCTATGGAGAATAGAGGTATTGCTAATAATACAATGAAGAAAACAAAATGGACTATAGTCAACCCAGGTTGATATTTATAAAAATGACATATATAGACAGAGGTAAGAAAATTCAAACAGTATGAGAAAGCGTGTCGTTAGAATTAAGATTGTGATTTCTCAAGCTTGGGAAGATGGCAGAGCAGGAGGAATGTGAGCTCACCCCGTCTCACAGGTACAAACAGATAATCATCCACATCCAAGTCAGTAAACCAGAGAGGGATCCAGAGATGGGCAGAATGAACTTCTCGGCTAATACAGAGAAGAAGTTGCATCTGACAAGTGAGGAAGGTCAGAAAGGTGGAGGGAGGCTGCCCACAGGAGGGAGGGAGCTGTGTGCATGGAGAGGGCAGAGAAATGAGCTGTTCTACCAGGGAGCTCCCATGGGAACACTAATCCCCAAACATTTGGCTTTAAGAACGAGAGGGTCTGAATTCCATGAGTCTGTAAAATAAGTGGCAATTGGAACCTGGAGCTTTGGAGGTCAGCTGACTCTGGACTGGGCGAGCCTGGAGGGCAAGTGATGACTGGGTTGCTACCCTTAAAGAGACAGCAGCCTGAGCAGAGAGGCAACATAAAAATAGCAGTTTATACAATGTTGGTTACCAACGGGAGACAGATCTGTTCATACTGATTTTGGAGCATGTTGGGGGACTTCTCTGAAAATGAGGGAACTGCCAGGCACCATTTTCCACCTCCATCCCCCAACATAAATACAGAGCCACCTATGGAAGGCAGGGCTACACAAATATTTTGTAGCCTCCACCCAGTGTTCAGGGCAAATTTTATTTTTTATTTTTTTAAAGATTTTATTTATTTATTTGACAGAGATCACAAGCAGGCAGAGAGAGAGGAGGAAGCAGGCTCCCTGCTGAGCAGAGAGCAGGGCAGATTTTATTAAAGCTGTTTCCATGCCCTGCCCAGTCACCAGGTGCACAACTGTCTCCTTGCGTAGCACCCAGCCAGCATTGCACATTTTGCCCAGCCTCATGACCCCAGCCACGCAGCTTTCTAGCCGCAGTGGCACTTCAAGAGATCCAGCATAGGACTAGAGGCCCAACACAAATTTTTCTAACACCACCACTTCGCTCCCAAGTTCCCCAGTGGGTACATCCTCTCAGAGCAGATCTGCCTGCGTCCCATGAACACCACAGAGAGCACAGCCCACAGCAGGCAGAGAATCAGTGCCAACGTCCTCACTGGAAGGAAAAGTGACTCAGACATGATAGCAGGACCTAAGCAACACACACAGGATGCTCTCTTGAAGTGCCAGGTTCTGGGGAACAGGGGACGTGCACAGCAGGAACTCCAGGACCTCCTCTGCATAACATCACTAAATGAGAAGATGCAGTTTTCTTCACTCGCAAAGACAGACACAGAGAGGCAGACAAAATGAGGAGACAGAAATCTGTCCCAAATGAAAGAACAGGACAAGGCATAGCCAGAGATCTAAGCAAAATAGTACAAGTAACTTGTCTGATAGAGAATTTAAAGCAGTGATCATAAGGATACTCACTGGACTTGAGAAGAGTGGAAGACGTGAGAGAGATGCTTAATGCAGTGATAAGGAATAACGGAGCAGAGATGAAGGGCTCAAGAAATGAAATGAGAAACATGCCTGATGGAATGAGCAGTGTGATGGAAGAAACAGAGGAAGGAATTAGTGACCTGGAAGACTGAGAAATGGAAAGTGTTCAAGCTGAACAAAAGAGAGAGAAAAGAATTATGCAAAATGAGAATAGACTGAGGGAACTCAGGGACTCCCATCAAATGTAGTAACATTTGTATTACAGGAGTCTCAGAAGAAGAGAGCGAAAAGGGGGCAGAAAATTTATTTGAAGAAATAATAGCTAAAAACTTCCTTAATCTGGGGAAGGAAACAGATACCCAGCTCCAGGAGGCACTGAGAATTCCATCAAAATTAAGAAAAGCAGGGGACCCTGGGTGGCAGTCAGTTAAGTGTCTGACTCTTGGTTTTGGCTCAGGTTATGATATCAGGGTCATGAGATCAAGCCCTGCATCTGGCTCTGCACTGAGTGTGCAGTGTGCTTGAGATTCTCTCTCTCCTTTTCCCTGTGCCCCTCCCCCCGCCCGCTTGCTCTCCTCTCTCTCTAAAATAAATAAATCTTTTTTTAAAAAATCAACAAAAGCAGGGGCGCCTGGGTGGCTCAGTGGGTTAAAGCCTCTGTCTTCAGCTCAGGTGATGATCTTAGGGTCCTGGGATCGAGCCCCGCATAGGGCTCTCTGCTTGGCCAGGAGCCTGCTTCCCCCTCCCTCTCTGCCTGCCTCTCAGCCTACTTGTGATCTCTCTCTGTGTCAAAAACAAAAAAACAAAAAAACAAAAAAACTTTAAAAAATCAACAAAAGTAGACCTACACCAAAACATACTGCAATTAAATTTGCAAAATAAAGTGGTAAAAAGAAATCTTAAAAGCAGCAAGATAAAAGAAGTAACTTGGGTACCTGGGTCGCTCAGTTGGTTAAGCAACTGCCTTCAGCTCAGGTCATGATCCCGGAGTCCTGGGATTGAATCCTGCATCAGGCTCCCAGCTCTGTGGGGAGTCTGCTTCTCCCTCTGACCTCCTCCTGTCTCATGTTCTCTCTCACTATCTCAAATAAATAAAATCTTAAAAAAAAGAAGAAGAAGAAGAAGAAAAGACGACACTTAAAAGGGAAAACCCATAAGGCTAACAGAAAACTCTTCAACAGAAACTTGGCAAGCCAGAAGGGAGTAGCATGATATATTCAAAGTGCTGAATGGGAAAAATCTGAGGCCAAGAATACTCTATCCAGCAAGGCTGTCATTCAGAATAAAAGGAGAGAGAGACAGTTTCCCAGACAGACAAAACTAAAACTAAAGGAGTTCATGATCACTAAAC